TCACTTAATATCGGAGCTATGCTAGATCCAATGCAGACCCCATTTGTCTGGATGTAAACCCTGTCATTCCAAGTTGTAAAAGTCGAAGGTGCGTAAACACAAGATTGAAGGAGCACGAGTACAACGTGAAAAATACTATTAGCGGCCACCTTGGCATCCATTGTAGGGATTGTGGGTGCACACCGCAGTTTCGCGACACTAAAATCCTAGCCAGGCACAAAGAAAGAAAAACTAGGGAGATAATGGAAGCGGCTGAAATTGCACGTCTGAAAGATCAATGTGTAAGTAGGGCATCTGTAACCCTCTCTCAAAAAGAGATGGACTTCTTATCTGTAGGATGTACACGTGTGCGGTGAGACAGTAGCGATATGGTGATGGTGACGCTTGTGCGAAAAATTTTTTGATATTGTGGTGGACACGTGTTTTTTGCCTGCCATGATATATATTTGTTCGCATTTCCTAATAAAGATCAGTTGTAAGTCAGCGCTCTGTCCTGTCTCTTCCTTTCTTCCTGCCGTTGTTTGCGCTGTGTCTTTAATCATGTATTTGAACCAACTCGCCCAAGCTTTAACCTTAGCTTATCGAGTCGCTTCAAAGGAGCGTGAGGCAATTCAAAAACAGGTGAAAACAATGCTAGAAGATGGTGTTATTCAGCCATCCAACAGTCCTTGGGCATCACCTGTAGTACTCGTCAAAAAGAAGGATGGTAGCTTGCGTTTCTGCGTCGACTACCGTAAGCTTAATCAGATCACAAAGAAGGACGTCTACCCTCTGCCGCGTATTGATGATTCATTGGATAGACTACGAAACGCACGCTACTTTTCGTCTATGGACATAAAAAGCGGCTACTGGCAAATTAAGTGGATGAGAGAGATCGTGAGAAGACCGCCTTTGTTACGCCCGATGGACTTTATGAATTGAAGGTTCTTTCTTTCGGTTTGTGTTTGGCGCCAGCAACATTCCAGCGTCTCATGTACACGGTTCTGTCGGGACCTAAGTGGCAAACCTGCTTGGTGTACCTCGACGACGTAATTGTCTTTTCGGCGACTTTCGAGGAACACTTACGAAGGCTTAAAGCAGTTTTTGAAGCAATACGCTTGGCCAGTCTTACTCTAAAACCTGAAAAGTGCCACTTCGGCTTCCACGAACTTCAATTCCTCGGTCACGTCGTGAGCAGCCAAGGGATCCTACCCAACCGGGATAAAATTGCCGCCGTGGCAAACTTCCCGACGCCATCAGAAAAAAAAAATCAGTGCGACGTTTTTTAGGGCTCTGTGCCTATTACCGGTGGTTTATTGCTAATTTTTCGCGCATCGCATGGTCATTGACACAGTTTACTCGGAAAGATACCCCCTTCAGATGGGGCGAAGACCAACAGCAGGCGTTTCACGAGCTTCGTCAGCGCATGCAAACACCCCCCGTGCTGGCCCACTTCGATGAAGACGCGCCAACAATACTTCATACAGACGCTAGTAATGTGGGTCTTGGAGCAGTGCTCGTACAGTCGAAGGAAAACAACGAAAACGTGATCGCCTACGCCTGCAGGACGCTGTCTCGAGCTGAAGCTAATTACACTACGACGGAAAAAGAATGCTGCAGCCTGTCCGAGTGCCGGCGACACCGTTTGCACAAATTGGCATGGATTTTCTGGGCCCCTTCCCAAAGTCTGCCACTGGAAACAGGTGGATAATCGTCACCACGGATTACCTGACCCGATACGTGGAGACAGGCGCTCTGCCATGGGCAACGACAGCTGAAGCGGCGCAATTTTTCATCGAACCCATCGTCTTAAGACACGGTGCTCCCGCAGTAGTCATCACCGACAGAGGTACTGCGTTCATGGCCGAGCTTTTGGACACCATTTTCCGACTAAGTGGTACAACTCACAGCAAGACAACGGCGTATCATCCCCAGACCAACGGGCTCACCGAACGCCTCAACAAGACCCCGGCTGACATGATAAGCATGTACGTAGATGTAGAGCAGAAGAACTGGGACATCATTTTGCCCTACGTCTCGTTCGCGTACAACACGGCTCGTCAGGAGACCACTCAGAAGACACCCTTTAGTCTCCTTTACGGACGCGAGGTTACGACAACGTTAGACGCAATGCTTCCTCATGAAAATGATGGCAATAAGACGGACGCCGAAAAGTTTACCCAGCTAGCGGAAGCCAGACAACTTGCCAGGTTGCGAATCACCAAACAGCAAGACGATGATGCCAAGTATTACAACCTCCGGCACAGACCCGTCATATACAACGTGGACGACAAAGTATGGGTCTGGACACCTATTCGTCAGCGTGGGCTCTTCGAAAAGCTGTTGCGAAGGTACTTCGGACCCTACAAGGTTCTGCGACGCATTTAGTGACGTCAACTACGAGGTTGTTCCGGACGGCGCGCAGTGTTCAAAGCGGCGCAGACATTCACCAGAAATCATCCACGTGCTTCAGATGAAGCCTTACTTTCAGTGACTAACTGTCCAGTTTTGGTTTCGCCTTGCTTCTCAAACGTTTAACATCGGGGCGATGTTTTTTTTAAAGGGGGAATAATGCCGCGCGTATGTGCCAGTGGTGAGGACAACGAAGCAGCGCGAGTGTCCTTGGCCTAGAGCAAAAGACGAAGAAGTCGTTGCAGTCTGTTTCCTGCGATCGATAAATCGTAGTTGTTTGAGGCGCTTTGTGTGCTCGTAAATCTCACGTCGTCACAATATATACGTGTTGTTATGGTGCTCCAGACATGCGCAATATTTGCATTTTAATTGACAATTGCACTAGTATGAACTCTAAATCTTGAGCAGCATTGGTGGGCGCTGTGGATGGGGTCGGCCGTTTCAAGTACCCGGTGTCGTAAGGAGTGGACAAACAGACAAATGTACAGACAGACAGACAGACAGACAGACAGACAGACAGACAGACAGACAGACAGACAGACAGACAGACAGACAGACAGACCAAGATTTTTACATTAAAAGTCCCCAAGAAAGACTATCGTCTTAAAAAACCGTATCGTTCGCCTCACCCCAACAATTATATTAGAGAGTCTGAAACACCCTTACCGACATGCTTCGTATCTCCTCAGTTTTTTTCTGTTTTTATCTTTTTGTGCTTGTTCTCTTGCACATGAATCTTTAACCATTTTTCTTTAGAATGATTACATTGTCGTTCAGAGCTTGATGACTCCTTCACCAAGAATTAGGTGAACAGTGTGAGTAATCAACATCAATGTAGGGCAGGTGTCACAGTACGCAACTCTTCACAAGGAATATATAAAATCATTGTGCTTACTACTAAGTCGGGGCAGTTTTTAGTTGGACTGACATTCGTTGCTTCTGGACATGACAGATAATTTTTCAAAGGACATTCAGCTTGTGTAAAGGTGCAATATATAGCGTTGTGGCATAGCAATATTGCACCATGTAAGCTTTCATACTGCAACTTTATGCTGATACTTTATAAACCGGCCCACTGCTCTAAAAATACAATAATAGGAAAGCCATACATGCGCCTTACACCGGTGCTACCATGTCATTGTAAACCTAAATGACATTAGTTGCATTACAAAAACAAGGTAAATAACCGTGCAAGAAATATTGTACAACCAAAGAAAACAACCTAAGAAATCGTGCCAAAAAGCTTCAGGTTACAAGCAATGTCGAGACGATAGAACAGGAAAGTTGAGAGGCATAAAATTCGTTTTTTATATTCTCTTTGCAATATGCCCCAAATATTTTTCAATATGCTATCACTGGTAAAAGATGTGTAAGTTAATAACAAGCGGTTAAAAAAACCCTGCAGAGGGAGCTGGCACATACGGTGCTAGCCCAGGTGTAGTTAGAGGTGAGTGGTTTCAAAATTCGGCATCTCCTAATTATAATAGCTGTAATATGCGACGTACTGTTTTAGTTATCACTGTATGTATGTGATTGTCGTTGGTTATAAGGATGATATTTATCGAAACGTACTAGTAGCGGGCATGTTTTCAAGAAGTACGAAAACGACAGACTGAGATTAATGTTCCAACCTGTCCTTTGTGCGGGCCTTTTGCCGCAGACGATGTTGTCGTGGTGACGCTAAAAAAAAAAGGACCATGTGGCCAGGGTGGAGAGAAGGAGATCTGAAAAAAGGAAAAGAGCAAGAAGGGTGGCATGCTGTAGCTTACGCAGGGTGGAGATTTCTAATAGTAGATAGAAAGAGGGACACGAAATGTAGCTTAAGTAATTTGGCGTAAGTTAAGCAAAACACCCTAAATGGTAGCAGGTAGAGCGGGATGACAAAAAACACCTAAGAGTAAAGGGGAAGTGTCTACAGGGCAACCCATGTCAACCAGATCATCTGCATACAACGGAATATCTGACTTAGCTTAAATGAAGAAACAGAAATAGGTAACTTAGAAGTATTAGGAGTAAATGACAGCAGATACTTCGTGTCTCAAATGGTATGCGCCACTCAGTGTTGAAGTATCGTGGTCAACTAGTGAATGAAGACTGGTAGTCAGCACAATAAAAATAAAAAGAACAGCCCAGACGAGAGCTTCGCCATACAGACAAGATGAACAAGTCAATGTCTTTCACCGAATACCTTTCGTTCTTACTGCGTCTCTCGTTTAATATCGGTTTCTCAGAACTATCAGATACTATACCTCAAAAGCGCCTTGCATCACAACGCAGTTAAGTTGTCAGTCTGTGCCCTACTATATTGCGTTCTTAACAGTACGTCTGGTCATTAGCCATCCGTAGAGAAAAATATTAACAATCGAAATATTTGAACTGAACAAACTCATAAGAATAAAATACGGGAAGTTTGCATTAAGTCACACACAGCTCTGGGCAATATTGTTTGAATGTGTATGCTACTTTAAGCACAATGATTTCCCGAACAAATCAATTCCCGGGAAGAGTCCATCATTAGTTTCACACAGTCGCTTGAGAACGCTCACGTCACCGTGTGAAGACTAGTTATAGCACTGTCTAAGCTGAATGACAACCGGGCAACTTTACAGGTGTTGCAGGTGGTCCTGAATTGACGCATATGGGCGGGGCACTTCCACCTATAACAGTAGCACCCGGAGGTGAGTGACTGTGTGCTATATCGCCATTATTATAATCATACCTAATTTCAATACTTCTCTCTGCCACTTCTACATTGTTGACGGTATATGACTCAAGTTTTGTCGTCCAGAATTGCTTATCTCTTTCGTTGTCACTGACGTACCCGTGCGTTCTCTTGTTTGGCCAGAGCCACGTACCGTTTTGCATTCATCCCCTTCAGTGCGTTCTTGGTGATGCGTTCGAAAATTCATGCCGAGGCACAAGGCTGGTGTATTTCGCATGCAGGACTCTGCTGGTTATATCACCTCTGGAATCTATCTAGAAGCGCGTAATTTTGCTCCTGGCAGTGTTGGTACATAGAATGATGACTCCAGAGTGACCATGTCTATACTTCTTTGTAAAACGCTTGGCCGCTCCGCTTGCACTGCTATCTAAGGGGAAGTGACTATGCAGTGAGCGTGGGATGACGAGCACATGGGTTCATCTGCTACCATCTGCGAGTCAGAAGGACTCTTTATCAGTCAGGGGGTGAAGTAGCCTAAGGTTTTGGCGTATCAGCGTGCTCATTGTCTGCTGCTGCTGCTACTGCTGTCATAACGGTGCGTGCTGCTGTCGAAGTGCAAAAGAGAGTGCCACCGGATCAGCGCTTGGCGCGTGGCGACTGAGAGCGAACGACACTCGTCGACTATGGAAGCGCTTTTTCTGCCACGAACGCTGAACCACCTGCTTCTAAGACTAGACTGCGCCCTCTCCCACGAAATTTGACACCGATAAAGCTACGTCCACTAGCGATTTTGTTAAGTGAGTAAATCAGCTGCTCACGTTGCACATACGTTCACCGGCGGCCCCGTCAATATATGGCAAGTGTCCATTGCTTTGGCCCTCCTGGATGACAAATATGAACCAGCGACTCAACGGCAACCATCCACGCCTTAAACGTTAGCGCCGTATTTAAGGAAGCATATCGCATAGTGGCATAGTGGAGGGCTAATGTATTGCTACACTTGCGTGGTTTCCCGCTCACATGGTGTTCATCAGGTGAGACCTCATCAACCTGAATGATCTGGCCCATTTCGAGGCACGAGGTCTCACTTTCCGCGACCATCGAGAACTCCACCGCCATCCCGCAGTTGTGGACAACAGAGATAATCCAACTACTTATAACGAATTTGCATAGAGTTTTTACCTTGGCAGGAAATGCTTTCTCTTTCTTAACAAAAAGTTAAATCAAGCACATGTGTTGACTCAGAGACTACTACAAACGGGTCCGTATCTCACCACTACTTTATTTCATAATATTCATTCTGACATTTATCCCCATAACTCCTGTACGTACGACAACGAACACACTTGCCTGGACCACATGCTCTGGTGTCACCCTTCATGACGGAGCACGGATCGATTCGAAGAAGACAGCTGCGTATCCGCAGTCAGCAGCCCCAATGTCGGGGATTAACTGTGCGCTGTCCAGAGGGCCCAGGATGCAATGATCGGGCTTGGCCTGACTGTACTATCGTAGGAGCGGCCTGATGCGTGTTAAGTCATGCTCCTCTGGACTTACAAAAAAGGTTCGCATCCATCTATCGTCCATTGCTTTTTTGGCTTATCAACTTGAGTTCCCGCGTGAACACCTTTGTTTGCTTTTCATCCTATTTTTTGTTAACACGGTTTTTTGAATAACTCTGAGAAGTGCCGGGTTGGTGTAAAACATCTAAAGTTTCCTGGTTACATTTTAAAACGCTGCTGACATCAAACCACTAGGTGAAATATTTTGATAGTCCATGTCATTACAGATGAGCCTGATCAAAGCACTATTTGAAAACCCTGGTGCATTGATGGTTTAGCCTATTTCTACGCTACCTTCCTCTCCACATTAGCACAACGCTGAAGATATTGGAAGATATACTGTATTGCACGAAATCATCGACATCAACGAAAACAGAAACAGACACTACAAGCCAAGTTTCCGCAGTTATCTAGACAAAACTAGCCCCACTAATTATCTTAATGCATCAAAGGCACACTGGTCTTGCCACACTTATGGTGGCAAGACTCCTGGGAGGCCTCTTCAAGCACGTATTAAGAAGTTTATTGCGAATATTGGAAACCACTACGATTTCACTTGGTGATGCTCTCTTGCGCTTAGATACGCCATACACATTTTCTCATTAGAACGTTTTGAGTGTTGCATCTACGTAAAAGAGTTTTTATTTTTTTAAGATACATTTTTTTGGTTCACCTAGAGTAAACCACCACTTTTGACCCGAGTTCTAGCGAGGTTACCCGTTTGCCGAGAAACAACACACCGTTGGCCGCAAAGGCTGGGTGGTTGGCTTAGGTTGTTTCTATTTTTCCTCCTAAATTTTCTTTCCTGTCGTCTTTCACTCCTTTTTATTATTTTCTCCAGGAAATGGCGGCGAGCTGGTATGAAAATTTCGACCTCTCTGTCTTTCCGTCAGGTTGTCTTCCTTGACTGGTCTTGATGACTTTTGAATGCTTGTTAGCATGTCACGGGCACTAATAATATTCCGGTGGGTGCATTGAATCGGTTCGAATGATTACAACTGTGAACGGTGATGCAGACGGCTGCCGCAAGCAAAAATGGAAGAAATGTAACCTTCCCTTTACTTGGCCGAACTGCATTTTTTTCTATTCACTAGTTATTTAACAGCCACATAATCAGACCTAAATGGTGACCCATTAAATTAATTTCAGGTGTGAATATATGAGTATTTTGTGTAAAGCAGTTATTCTAATTCTCACGAAAAAGTTCTCGTTTGAGCTTTTGTTTTGCTGATTTCTTAACGCAAAAAAAAAAACACACACAATCTTCCTTAGGGCCAGGAGGCGTTCTCCTGATTCCACAACAGCCTGGAGGAACATTGAAGCCAGGACGTGGGCCTGGTAAGTAAGCATCATCATGTGCTATAGAAAGTTACTGTATATTGAAAAAGAAATACGTCTTTGAGTATGAAAGAAATAAGCCTGATTAGCGCAATTTATGGGTATTCACGGTACGCGCAAATGTCAAACTAGGCTTTCGTTGAAGTAGGTGGTGAGACATGCTAAATGGAGGTAGTGTAAACACCTGAAGTGCACACCAGGGGGAAACTCAGATAAAGTTGCACACTAACCCCCGTATTCACAAACGCTCCTTCACTCAAAGGCTCTTCCTGACTTGAAAAAGTTGATGGGAGCGCCATCTCTTTGCAAACGAAGGCATTGGAAATCGGCATTATTCTGCAGCGATTGTTGAGAAGCGCAGCGTCAATTTCAGTCGACCAGCGGCGCAGTGCTCAACTCAGTCAAGTTAAAGATGGAATTCGAGTCAAGGAGCGTTTCTGAATACGGGGATGAGTCTTTTTCTGTAGGTTCAGACATTCTACAGTCTTTGTTTTAGTTGCCCAATAGCTATTAAATTTGACGTGATGTGAAACCTTGAGTTACAAATATCTCACGTCTTTCTGCTTTGATACTTAGGGATACAAGAAAGTAAACCCGCTTAGTAATACTAAGGACACCAAACAATACCCTCTTAGGTGGAAACTTGCACAAGCAGTAAGATGAAGCTTATAACTGCGCTATGCGCATCGGGATATTCTAATTACTACTCCTGATTCTATTTCTTTTACATGTCAAGGTAACGAGTAATATATAGTGGGCCTTTGTTATGCGCTTCTTCTCATATAGGCATTATCATAAGCATCATCATCCGTCTGGGTCTGTATTCTCATCTTCATTGGGTGTCACCACAATCATCATCGTGTGTGTGCGCGCTACGTCTCAGACTGCCCGTTCGCTGCTGAAGGTGGCAGCAGCGCCGACAGGCTCGTTCTTTGACATGCTGCCGGACAGTGGGGGAAAACGGCGGCCTGAACGGAGCTCCAGAGAGTCGAGCAAAGTGGGAGAGGACCGAGGACCGAAAATTCACCTCCACCACGTATGACGTTTGGGTTGATACAGCGTGTATTCAGCCGAAGGGCTCAGAAGTGAACGAGCAGTCTGAGACAGAGCGCGCACACACGCGATGATGATTGTGGTGACCCCCAATGAAGATGAGGATAGAGACCCATACGGATGAGGTGGATTCTGATAATGCATATATAAGTAGAAGCGCATAACAAATGCCCTATATATATATATATATATATATATATATATATATATATATATATATATATATATATTGTGGGCATTTGTTATTTGTGTGTGTGTGTGTGTGTGTGTGTGTGTGTGTGTGTGTGTATACGGTAGTTGGCGGATCGCACGTAAAGCGGGAATCGATGATATGCGAAGCACGATGAGGAAGGTTGGTAAGTCACTTTAGAATAAGCCCAACGTTACGAGGCAGAGGAAAGTTTTACCGTACAGTAACTTCCATGTCATGTTTATCATATATGGACGTGTCATGTACGTTCGTCAATATTCATGTCATCTGATAACAATTTTGGTATATGTGGAGGTAGCGAAACGGCTGCGACGAGCGTGCTATGAGCCTAGTCAAGTTTTATATGACACGCCTGCTATGGTTATCATGTTTTTATGTCTCATTTGCCTTCGTCGTCTATTCACGTAACGTAATACGAATTTGGTACATCTGAAGCTTGCGAAACGGTCGCCAGCGCATCATGAGCGTGGCTTGTAGTCATTTTGTTTCATGACACGCATAACTATATATATATATATATATATATATATATATATATATATATATATATATATATATATATATATATATATATATATATAATATTGTAAGGTACAAGGTCGCTGAAAATTGTGCGCGTATATTGATAAAATACGTTGGTGTGGGTCAATACTATAGAGTGGAGTAGCTAAGATATTCATAACGATACTATAAAGTCAAGAATTTCGAATGATCACTCTCCGGTATTCAAACAATACTCAATTAACTTCTTGCACACAAATACGTGCTTTTATGCAGCATGATGTTGTCAATAAAGACTTCGAACAACAATTGCGTAAATGTTTAGAAACACACATTGTGTAAGAAATGCGAAGATATCTTCTCATTAACGGTTACGTGTAAGCAAATCGCGCGACTCAATATTCAAGCGCTAACTATGGTACTCAAATGAAGTCGCTTTCTTAAGCATATTTCGTGTATTGCCTATGTATCGATGACGAGTTGTTCAAACTATAAGAACAAACGAACTAGATGACTGCGAGTGATACATCGCAGTTCGTTGATTTTTTTCGTGAACTAATGGCGTTCTTTTCAAGCTCACTTATAGGACAACCAACAAGCAGAATTTTTAGAACTTCGGGTTCAAACCATAACAACAATCTCACTAGAGACTGCAAGTTATAGCCCGCAGCTTGTTTATTGTTCTTTTTTTCCAGAACGAAGGGCGCTCTCTTCTAGTTCACTTATAGGATAACCAACAAGCAGATTATTATAAAAGACGGATTAAACCATAATAACAAACTAACCAGATGACTGCAAGTGATACGCCGCAGCTTGTTTATTGTTATTTTTTCCCTGAATGAACGGCGCTCTCTTCTAGTTCTCTTACAGGACAACCAATGAGCAGAATATTAAAAACTTCCGGTTCAAGCCATAAGAATAAAATAACTAGGTGACTGCAAGTGATACCCCGTAGTTCATTTCTTTTTTTTTCCTGAACTAGGGCGCTCTCCTCTAGCTCACTTATAGGACAACCAACAAGCAGATTATGAAAAACTTAAAGTTCGCTTGAGCTTAGCCTTCAAAAGTATAAGACAATAAATAAATTGTACACTTTTGGCATGGCCTTCTCAATCACTATCAAGGCTTCGCTTCCCGGTGGGCACCTGCACAATGCCGCATCTAACCAAACGTCTGTGCGCTTGTAGATGAGTCCTTTCGAGCTATCCTGGAGTGCTTACTGTACCTGAAGTTCTTATGTTCTATACTACAACATAATTCTTATTCCTGCGAGTTGGTGAGGTACCCTCTTGCAAACGTCTGTCAACAGACGCACCTGCACGCATCGTTGATACTGCTTTTGATATTGGCAATTCCTGTGAATTGTGCTTTTCCATAGGTGGACCTTTAAATCAACCACTCGCTTCAGCACTAGCACTGTTATAGTGTCTTTTCTCCCGTCTGTCGTAACTTTTGCCGCAAATTTCGCACCAACTTGCGCAGCAAAAAGCACTATAAAACAAAAATAAACATAAGGATGTATTGAAGTGAGGTTGTGTGTTTTAAAATTTTAAAGGATTGTACGCAATTGTCTTTTAATTAGGCATCTAAAATGTTTAGCACTAAATAAATCATTATTCCGATGCACTGACAAATGCAATTCCCCTTTTTTTATTTCCGCTTTGAAGTCTACATGACCTTTAAAGCTTTAAACTTATGGCAGTTAATGCGATGCACCACCATAAAAAAAAATGCCATTTTTCTGACATCACAGGTGGGAGAGTCCAGGGAATACGATGTAGAAGTATTGCTCCAAAGCAGAGGTGTGGAACATACGCTACGAGATGGTACTATGACAGCGGTATTGACGAATGCGTCCGTCACTACGTTGGAGGCTGCAAGTTTCCTCCTGGCTATCTACTGTGCACCCGTTGCACAGTATCGTGTATGGGTAAGACTACTTCATTCTCTTGCAGCAGACTTTTGCTTCTTGAACACAGTCAATATCAGGATTAAAATGAAAAAGTGATCAGTTTCGTTAATTTCTAAATAAAAACCAAAGCGAAAAAGTTTAAGCATGAAATTATTCAAAAAAACAAACTTGTCACCTGTTCTTATATGTTATAGCATAAAAGCTATGAATGAATGGAAGAACTTTATTTGTAGTTACGAGAAACGCGATTAGCGCTATAGCCATGTGTTTTTCCCGCTTCACAATATTATCAAAAAAAAAAAAAAAACAAGCACCATCATACCGGCGTTACTTTTTTCGTCATCTTTATTTTGTGCTTCCCCCACCCAGCACGTGCCCTCGGAGCACGCTCTCATGCTGTGCCGATAAGTCTGGCGAGGGAGGCATCAGCGCGGGTTATAAAGGAGCACGTAAAGACAAAAAGAAGTCTAAAAAAGGTTGAGAGATAGAGAGAGAGGAAAAGAAGGAAATTGAAGAAGGAAACATTACTCAAAAACTAGGTACACAAAGGGCGAAACAAAAACAAAAGTAAAAATACCTTAAAAAGTGGAGGAGGAGAAGGAGGAGGAAGGAAAGAAATGAAAGGCAGGGAGGTCAACCTCCCTGCCTTTCATTGGAGATCACTACAAACCTATACTAGGAAATAAACAAGAAATAGACTAATAAAAATATAAATATAGAGAAAGAGAAGAATTCAATAGAAAGAGAGAGAATAAAACTAGACAATAAAAGATCCAGAGTGAATTAGAAGGAGAAAGAAAGGGATATAACAACAGGGCCAAAATTAACTTTCATTTCAATAACCTACTATGCGCTGTGATTGCTAAGGGATGCCCATGAGTGCCTGATCAACACGAGGCCAGTTTTCTTGATTACAGTGTGATCTAATGCACATTAAGTGCATCGGCGTAATAAAATGCAAGTGTGCCTATAGCCAAGCCAGTATCAGCCAGGTTCCGACTAGCTCTCTGCTGTGCCCCAACTTCGCGCAACTCTGCAGATCATTTTGGTGTTGAAGTTGTCGCCAATGATTAAGTGCACATTTATCGCGAGAGACGTGACATTAAATTATTTTTTTTTCCAGAAGTCTGATAGAGCCTTTTTTTAAGGTTACTATGTCCTTGAATCAGAGATATAATATAGCACTGAGAAAACAGCATAATGTGTTTGTACACTGTTTCTTTGAAACAAGACAAAACCTCTTGCTGCACACATGTAGTACTGACATGTGTACCAAGTATTACGTCTCAACTGCACACGTGACTGATCATATACAAAGAGAGAGGAGCGGGGAGCAGGACTGTGATTATTTTAGTTGGTGAATATACCAGCACCACAGGCTTCATAAGAGGGACAGGGTAAGGTCACTAGGGATTTCTTGGTAGCTTGAAAATGTTGAGAGATAAGTAGTAATCAGGCGGTAGCCCTATGACCGCTGCAGACGCACACGTATCCTAACCCATCGCTGTTCAACAGACTATATCCCAACGTATATCCAACGAATATATGCAAGATATGATATATTGAGCATGCCACTTTAAATCGCATGCTCTGGGACTGTGCCAGAAATCCACAAGGTGCTAAGTCCGGAAGTATTCCGCCGCAGTGGGCCGCTGCCCAGTGCAGCCCCAGCCTCGGCGATCAACTCTGGGCGGTCCAGCAGGCCCGCGAGGCGGCGGTCAGGCAAAGTATCGACGTCCCCACGCGGGAGATCTAAGTCTCGGTAGGCGAAAGCTCTGCCGGACTTCCAATAATGTTCTTAGCCATAAACCAAAAGTAATAATCAGAACTAACGGACAGTGAAAGAGAAACTATAGGGGAAGGTATGAGAAGTAACTTTAAATTAAGTGCGTAGAAAGAAAAGCAGCCATTGTGCCGACTGCGGAACATTCGTTTTTTTTTTACTTGCGTGTTGGTGCCAGATAGCGACGCTAACAGGTAAAGAGACTGTTTCACACTCGCCATATTGGCTACTGGCAGCGCTCACTGACGCTCCCACATATAAATGCACATATATACGCTCTAATGTGGACAGATTGATTACCGCCGCTGTAGCTCATTGTAAGAGCATCAGGCACAATATTCGAAGGTTGCAGCTTTGGTCCCTGTGGGCGGCAAGTCACTTTTATGTGTCTGCATATTAGTTTAAACTAATACGATCCCCTCTGTGTTTTTCCAGCATGAATATCTGTTGGTTCTCACTAATATTGAGTCTAACAAAGGTTACAAGCATTTTATTTGCACATATTTTGTTCAAGTGATAAGTAGGTAGGTTTAATTGTCGTTTCTTATATAAAATATTTATTGAAATATTTTTTTTGCTTGCAGGTCTCAGGAATGCCACACAAATTAGGGCTTTTTGCAAGAATCCACACCGTATTAAGAATTCCAAACAGGAATGAAGCGGTATGAGCCTTTGGACAGAAGATGAAGAAGCGCGAGGGCCGGGGCAGGAAAGAAGAGGGGGATGAAGTGAAAAATAAAGCAGATTAAGATGGACGCCAGTTCCATACTGAAGCTTTAATGCTGTTCCGTTATTTTAAGTAGGAAAACTACATTATTTTGGCGCAGCCGGCCATCGAAGCCATCATGTGGGTGACGTTCTTCATAGACGAGACCTCCGAGGAGATCATCTTTTCGAAGTACCAAGTTCAAGACGAAGCAGCGGTAGACCTACCTCGTGAGCTCAGCTCGGAAGAACTCGTAAACCTGGTTGTGGAAAAGGCAGCCGTAGACACTACTGAACTACGACGGAAAGGTGCTGTGAAAGTGAACTTGCGTGTGGCGACCTTCAACGACCTAGTTCTTGAACCAGCGCGTCGAAAACACTCAGGATCACGATCTCCGACGGAAGAGGTGAGCCTCGTTTTGAAAGCTTTTCAGCTGCAACAGGAACAGATGCTTCAACAAAACCAAATAATGACATCTCTTATAAGCTCTCTGAATGCTGAGAGACCGACACCTAATTTCGTAGAACCTGATGCTTTCGACGGTGTGTCTTCAAATCCAGAAAGTTGGCTTGATTTCTACGAATATGCCGCTGGAAAAAACAAGTGGCTCTCTGATGAGGCTAAAATCACCAACATGCGCGTTTACTTGAGAGGTGTTGCGCGAAAGTGGTATGAAACATGCATTCTGGAAGACAGTGACGACTCTTGGGGCCAGTGGAGGAAAAAGTTTTTGACTGCATTCCGAAGCAATCCAGTAGAAAGATGGAACACGGCGCTTAATTTCAAGTCTGAGCAAAGCTGCCTTGTCGAGTACTTCTTTGAGAAACGCCGTCTTTTAAAGCTGGCGGAGCCTTTGCTTCCATCTACGGCCGTAGTTGCCTTAATAATGCATGGATTGCACACTAACGTGTTGAAGCAAGTGCAAATACTGTCACCAAAGACTCTAGATGACCTCCTCGCGTGTCTTCAGAACATACCATCAGCTTCGGAAACAAGCATAACCGCCGAGTCAAGCAGCTGTTTCAGTCGGAGTAAATCGGACTGGTCAAGCCGCGCTCAGCGAGAACCGAGCCACCTCGCAACTCGCACAGATAACTTGCCCTGGCGTGTTCCAAGAGGTCGAGTGAATAATATCGACACTGAAGCTCAGGAGTATTCGACAGAAAAAAAACTAATAAACGAGGGTGATCAGTCCCACCCGATGACTCCAAATGAGACTGTTTATTTAAGTTGCTCTAGCCTACTTCACATTCCCGTCAAAGTAGGAAACAAACATATGATGGCTCTGGTAGACAGCGGTGCTTCTGTGTCCATTATAAATGCCAAGCTGGTGGATGCAAATCGCTTGCATAGTGGAAGAATTCTACGAGTACAAGGCTATGATGGAAAAGTAACGTTGCATGATCAGTGGGCCTTGGTAAACATCGAGTTCCAGGGTCAGCAAATAGAGAGCGAAGTGTTGGTGATAGAGGGGGTAACGTACGACTTTTTGCTATCAAGACCAGATATAAAGAAACTAAAGATCAACGTGTACTGGGACGATGTGGTTCTAGTAGAAGGAGTAGCAAGGAACGAGACAAATCAGGGTAGACAAGATAATCTACGAGTTGTCAAGTGCGCGGAGGATATCGCAACGACCTACCCTGAACTTGTATGCATAGGAAGCTATCCTCAGGCGATGAAGTCCCACAAGGTTCCTTTCGAACTCGCTGACAAGACCGTCATCCGGAAAGCACCTTACAATATGTCAAGGGAGCGAAAGATGTGGCTCAAGAAAGAGTTGCAGGAGATGCTAGATGCTGATATCATACGACCTTCGGTATCACCCTTCGCTTCTCCCATAACGATCGCACCGAAAGAAGACGGAACCTTCAGATTATGCACCGACTACAGGGTTCTCAATCGTCAGACAGAACTCATACCATTTCCTATGCCGAAGATCGACACAATTATAGATGAGACCGGGGGTTGCCGACATTTTTCCCGCATCGATTTATGCAAAGGTTTCTGGCAGATCCCACTAACCGAAGAAACAAAAATGTACACCGCTTTTATCACGCCATTCGATCTCTACGAATACAACCGGCTCCCTTTCGGTTGGAAAAACTCGCCAGCGTGGTTCCAGAAGATCATGAACGACGTCCTAAAGCCATTCCTTGGTGTTTTTTGTAATGTGTACATAGACGACATTATAGTCTTCTCCAAAACAGAGGCTGAGCATCAGGACCATCTGTCTCAGGTGTTAAACGCCTTGAGCTTGGCACATCTCAAGGTTAATTTTAAGAAGAGTGTATTCTTTCAACGAAAAGTGGTGTTTCTTGGAAGAGTCTTCGATGGGAACACCAAAAGCACAAAACAAGAGTCCGTCGAGAAGATCTCCCAGTTGAAGAAACCATATGACGTCCATTCACTGCGTGTGTTTTTGGGATTGGCAGGACATTTCCGATCTTTCATAAAGGACTTTGCTGTCAAAACTAGATGCCTCACGCGCTTAACGCAGAAAGAAGTTCCCTTTGAATGGAGTGACGAATGTGAGAGAGTCTACCGTGACTTGGTGCACAGAATTTCTTCTGACCCCGTTCTGCGTATACCAGATTTCACTTTACCCTTTGAATTGAACACTGACGCCTCACATTATGGGACTGGTGCAGTGTTGTATCAAAAATGTATTGAAGCATCTGGCCGAGAAAAGCGACACGTAGTCGGTTACTACAGTTACACTTTCAAGCCGTCTGAAACAAACTACACTACTACGGAAAAAGAAGCACTGGCGGTTCTGAAGGCCGTTGACTACTTCCGCACGTACCTGGAAGGTACGAAGTTCACTTTGTTCACCGATCACCAGGCACTCACTCATCTCTTGAATATGACCCAAACTAAAGGGCGTATCGCCAGATGGGTGAATTACTTGCAGCAATTTGACTTTACCATCTCGCACCGACCAGGACCGCTTTTAACCGATGCAGATGCTCTATCAAGATTGATGGTACAAAACAACACAGAAAAATCTGAAGAAATCAATGAAGTGAAGCTGTGGGAAGGCTCAGAACAACTGGTTTTTACGGAAGGTCGGTATCAAGTCCCACCAACTCTTGTTTCCAAAGTGCTTTACTTGTACCACGATAGCCCAGAATCTGGAGGACACGACGGCTTTTGGCGTACCTACAACAAGTTGGTCAAGAGGTTTACGTGGCCTCACATGAAGAAAGACGTTAGTCAGTACGTTCGTTCATGCCATGTGTGTCAAGTACACAAAGTCAAGTATAAACAGCCTACGGACACCATGATACTACCTTGCCACTCGAACGTGCCTTTTGAAGTAGTTCACCTGGATTTCGCCGAACTTAACAAGAAACGGGAAGGAGTCAGAAAAACGCAAGCTTTTCTGCTGGCCATAGATGAATGCACCAGGATGGTCGCGGCACGAGCAGGAAAAGAAGATGCAAATAGCGTCATAACCCTTCTCGAAAGGGACATGTTTAGAACTACGCGGACAATCGTATGCGATAACGGCCCCGCGTTCAAGAGTGAAAAGCTAGTAAGATGGGCTCGAGATCACAATGTATCGATCAAGTTCTGTGCGCCATACCATCCTGCGGCGAATGGGCTTGCAGAACGTGCCATACGGGACGTGAAACAATACATCAAGATGTACGATAGTTTTCCTGGGGGATGGAAATGTTCTTTAGAAGCAGCCGTAAAACATCATAACCGATCCTACACAAGTGGCTTGGGGTGCAGTCCACAGTACGCTTCTACAGGAGAGACCCCTATTCTGCAGGCAGACCGTGAGTTGGGACTCTTGGAAAACCTCAAGATTGTCGAGGAGAGGCAACAAAAATCACAGGAGGAGAGGTACCGAAAACGAATGAAAAAGAATTTCGACAAGAGGCATCGAGCAGACATGCCAGACATTCAAGTCACCGACCTCGTACTAGTGAGAAAAGGAATAAGAGATTCCAGTGCCAAATTTTATGGGCCTTACTCTGTGACCAAGACAGCCACCCAGAACGGAATTTTGAAGACTGTCTGGTACACTGGTGAACGTGGATCTGTTGAATGTGCTTCAATTGGGAATGTCTTCAGGTATTACCCCAGGAGGGGTAATTAAAAGAAAGCGGGAAGGGTGAAGCGGTATGAGCCTTTGGACAGAAGATGAAGAAGCGCGAGGGCCGGGGCAGGAAAGAAGAGGGGGATGAAGTGAAAAATAAAGCAGATTAAGATGGACGCCAGTTCCATACTGAAGCTTTAATGCTGTTCCGTTATTTTAAGTAGGAACACTACAAGGAATAAATATGGAAGACATGCTGCGCGACTTCACTTCGCAAAAAGGGAAAAAAATACACTTAAAGCTCGTTACGAAGAAATACAATGCCTTAGAATAGTTCATAGAGCACAGCAAACTGAATTTGCCCTGATGTTCCCATATACGCATATGCCCGGCAAACCTCGCTTTGTACGAAATAAATTTGTCACATGAATAAATAGCACAAGATGATTTATTCCTCTCCAGAGTACAAAAGCCTTGCACATTCATGCCAACGAAATCAATGTCAACAAAAAAGATACGCAACTATACGAGGCCTCTGAGACTGCACTGACACCCGCCGTGCAGTTTTTGGTGACAGTGAGTGGTTCAATCAACTTTGTATGCAATGGGTACGTTTGGTTCGTTTGGTCACTGGTCCCGTACGATGACACTGGAATCGAATGGAGGCAACAGTGGCACCAAAGAATAAAATATTCATCACAAAATATAAAAAAGCTTAGCTTGAGAAGGTTAAGCACTCTCAAGATTGCCATGAACCTTGCAAGGAATCGTACGTGATAGAAACGTAAATATATGTATTCAAAATCAGCCATATTGAACTCATTATTCAACCTGGTCATAGCAACATTCAAGTGCATTACGTGGTAAAAATCAGAGCTTCCCGAAAGTCGATGCTGTTAAAATACTGAGGCTGCTAATAAACGCCATAAATTACAACTCCGGTACTC